TTGCTTCAGGGTTTTGTTTTGTTTTGCCTAAAAAAATAGAATGTTGCATTTCCAGTAAATGTGCCCCTATGTATTTTTTTCTCATCTCTTTCCTTGTTCACCAGAGAAACAGTATCTTGAATTTAAACTTCTTAAATTCCCATACATGTTTTTTTTTTTAAGATTTATTTATTTATTAGAGAGAGAGAGAGAGATCACAAGTAGGCAGAGAGGCAGGCAGAGAGAGAGGGGGCAGCAGGCTCCCTGCTGAGCAGAGAGCCCGATGCGGGGCTCGATCCCAAGACCCTGAGATCATGACCTGAGCCGAAGGCAGAGGCTTAACCCACTGAGCCACCCAGGCGCCCCCCCCCATACATGTTTTTATGGTTTTGCTCCATGTTCTGTGCTCGCACGCCGCACACAGCAGGGGCCGGGGGCCGGCCGGGCTTGCTGGTGTCCCTGGAACCCTGACGTGCGTGCCCGTGTGTGAGTGTTGTTGCTGACTGCTTTCAGTTTATGGTGTTTTAGGATACACGGCCATCTCCCAGCCCCCTTCAACACCAGCCTCCACTCTTTGATCTCAGCTGGCCCAGGCAAAGGAGGGTTGTCTCTTCAAACATTCCGGTTGAATTTTCTCAAGACTGATTGCATTCAGTGTTTTTAATCTTACACATAGAATTTACCTTTTCCAGATAAAACATCATTACCGCAACCTTGTCCCCAGGACACCATTAAGCAAAACCCCCTTAAAACCAAACCTTAACAGCTCCTATTCAGAAAGGGTCATTTTGTTCGCTTGTTTATTTTTTGGGTAAAAACAAAGATGAACTGAAGATTGTGTTCCCTTGGATCCCTCCACACCCACCTCCCACCACCAACCTGGCTTTTACTTAGCTGCTTCTGAAGGGAGCATCCAGTCAGAGACAAAACATTTTTCAGCCTTCCGCTTCTGTCTTCTATTTTTATAACCTGGGTGGATATCTAATTTCTACTTAGAAAGTCACTGACCACCTGTATTACAGGAGTCTGGGTCCAGTCAGGAGAGAGAAACCACATGGTACTTTTAGCAGGTAAACTTAGTGTAAGAATTATTAACTGTAACAAGAATTTGGAGTAACATGAGATCAGCTAGTAAGAAGGAAAGAAAGAGGGGCGCCTGAGTGGCTCAATGGGTTAAAGCCTCTGCCTTCAGCCCAGGTCATGATCCCAGGGTCCTGGGATCCAGCCCCGCATCGGGCTCTGCTCAGCGGGGAGCCGGCTTCCCTCTCTCTCTGCCTGCCTCTCTGCCTACTTGTGATCTCTGTCTGTTGGATAAATGAATAAAATCTTTAAAAAAAAAAAGGAAAGAAAGAAGCACATGAAAGGATGTTCAACACCATTAGCCATAGGGGAAATAGGAAGCAAAACTATAATGAGACACTTACCCCACCCCAGCCTCTCTGATGATCCATTTTTTATATATATACCCATATGTGTTTATGTATTATATATAATTTATATATTATATATAATTTATTATATATTTATAATAATATATATGTATATTGTTTCATTTGCTTGGTTCACACCCACTAGGACAGCTATAATCAAAAAGACAGATAATCACTAGTGTTGGCACAGGTGTGGAGAAATCAGAATTCTCATATGTTGCTGATGGAAACATGAAATAGCTCAGCTGTCATTTCCTCAAACAGTTCAATGTAGAGAGTTACCATGTGACCTAGGTATATATCACTCCTAGATGTACCCAAGTCCTTCTCTAGGTACGTACCCAAGAGAAATTAAAAATTTATGTCCATATAAAAATTTGTACATTGGTGTTCCTGGAAGCATAATTTTTCCAGAAAGTGGAAATAACCCAAACGTCCATCAACTGATAATTGGATAAGTAAAATGTAATTTATGTTCATATGGTGGGATGCTTTTTGGCGCTAAAAAGAAATGCAGCCCTGATCCATGCTACAACGTATGTGAACCTTGAAAACATCAGGCTAGGTGAAAGGAACCTGTCACAAAGGACCACATAGTGTATGATTCCATATATGTGACATGCCTATAAACATTTGCCTATTCTATAGAACAGAAAGTAGATTAATGGTTGCTTAGGACTCAGAGAATGGGAGGTTGGGCAGGGGGTGGCAGCTCAGGGGTGCAGGATATCATTTTGGAGTAATGGGAATGTTCTAAAATTGATTGTGGTAATGTTTGCACAACTATGTGAAAATACCAAAAGCCATTGAAATGTCTACTTTGAATGGCTGAATCATATGGTACGTGAAGGATACCTCCATAAAGCTTTTCTAAAGGAGTAAAGAGAACCCCAAAGGAATCTAGGCGTAGCACATATAAGGCCTGGGGCTGAGAGAGAGTGCTCAGTGAAGAGCTCCCCAGTCTACCCCACACCTGGCGCAGGCCGAGATACAAACTTTGGGGTGCAGTGGACATGATGATGGCTTACTGGGTCACCGATGAGTTACTGTGATGCTGCATGGTGGGATTGGCTGGAAACCAGCCTTCTTGGGGGTTGGGGTCTCTTTGCACAGAGGGGTCTCACCAAGGGCACTGTGCTATGCAGCTGCCCAGGCTGGGCGCTGAGGGCCGCTATTGGCCTCTGCTCATCGTTTATGATGTATAAACACCTGGAGAAGCCAGGTGTGCTGTTGGAGTCTACCCGGAAGAACACACTGGAACCCAGAAACAAAATCCCATTTTCCTCCAGCATGGGCTCTCCAGCACCTTCTACTGACAGAGCTCGTATCATGCCAACCAGCAAAGAAAAATATGCACAAATATGCCCGGGCTCAGATCCGTCTTGACAGAGCAAGCAAACGGGGTGACTATGGAGCGGAGAGGCAATAAACCTGTAACCCACACAGGAGTCATGGGGATCTCAGCAGCCCCCAAGCTTTTTAATTCCCTTTGGGGGTCCCAAGGTTATCCTTGTCCCTAGGCAGCTGTGATTGGAGAAGCCAGGACACTGTGTCTTTGAGTTAACTCGCCCTCGGCCCAGCTCTTTCTAGTCCATTTTTACATCTTTTTCTGTTCTATATGCTTGGTTCTCTTTTTCAGATACCAGTTATGCTTACCCTGGATCTCCTATAACTACTGTTGCTGCACGTTTTTTTGTTGTTGTTGTTTGGATTTGTTTTAGTAATCCTCTTACACTTTTGCTTTTTTCCTTTTTTTTTTTTTTAAGATTTTATTTATTTGAGTGGGAGAGAGCGTGCGCTTGTGAGCGTGAGTAGGGGAAGGGAGAGGGAGGATCATGACCTGAGCCGAAGGCAGATGCTTAACCAGCTGAGCCACCCAGCTGCCCTTATTCTTTTTCATTTTTTCTTGTTTTTTTTTTTTTTAATACACCTTCATTTCCTTCCTTCCTTCCTTTTTAAAAATTTTGGTTATTTTAAAGTAAACTCTACACCCGACGTGGGGCTCAAACCCACAATCCCGAGATCAAGAGCCGCAGACTCCACCCCCTGAGTCAGCAACGGGTCCCCACCGTCCCCAGGGTTGCTTTCATGACTCTTACCATCTTTTCAGCAGCGACCACTTTGTTGGCTACTGCTGAGGCTTTCATTTCCGTGATGGTGTTATTTTTCTTGGTTCACTCTTTCTGAATGCTAATTTTACTTTACTTAGAAAAATGGCGTTGTCTTAGTGTTTTTTCCCTGAGCTCCCCCTTTCATGTCTGCTCTTAGTTAGCTCGTGTTCTAGAGAGCCAGTTGGGAGTGGGTGGGATTAGGATAGTCTCTGTTAATGATCTTTATCTGTTCTGTAACCACATTTTTTCTGTCCTGTCATCTCCATCTACCATGTTTTGCCCCAATCGTCCCATTTCCTTTCTTCCACTGTGTTGTAGCATTTCTCATTAGATTTCCTGTACTAATTTCTTTTTATTGCTGTTTTGATTTAGTCTAGCACTTCTTCAGATGCAAAAAGTTACGTGACTGAAGCCAGATCACTGGGATTTGAATCCTGGCTTTGCCATTTGCCAGCTCTGTGATCTTAAACAAGATAATTCAACCTCTCTCTGCCTCAGTTTTTTCTGTATGTAATGGGAACGATAGATAACCTCATAGGATTGGTGAGAAGATTCAGTGAGTTAAATCGTTCAAAACTCTTAGAACCGTGGTTGGTCCACAGTAAGTGCTATATGAATATTAACAATATTGACTTACCCTGCTCACTAACTTGCAATTAGAAAATGCACGTTCCTCTGCATAGGATAATTTAACATATTGCATATTAATTAACTACTTAAAGCTGCCTAGTCGTGCGTAACAGCTGAATAGGAGCTATGCATTCAGCAAAAATGTTTGTTAAAAAATTGATGAGCTTTGGGGCACCTGGGTGGCTCAGTGGGTTAAAGCCTCTGCCTTCGGCTCAGGTCATGATCCCAGGGTCCTGGGATCGAGCCCCGCATGGGGCTCTCTGCTCTCCCTTCCTCTCTCTCTGCCTGCCTCTCTGCCTACTTGTGATGTCTGTCTGTCAAATAAATAAATAAAAATCTTTAAAAAAAATTGATGAGCTTTTCAATAAATTTTCTTGGGAAGCTGGATAATAAATAGCATGGTATATAATAACTTCTCATTAGTTTGCCTCACAAATATTCACAGGAGTCATGCTTTGTGGTTTTTGCTCTACATACCTTTGTCATACCTGAGTTTATATCCAGTATGGCTGATATTTGAAGGTCAGCAAAATTCTGACATCTTATTTTATTTTATTTATTTTTAAAGATTTTTTTTTATTTATTTGACAGAGAGAGACAGCGAGAGAGGGAACACAAGCAGGGGGAATGGCAGGCTGAGGGAGAAGCAAGCTCCCCGCTGAGCAGGGAGCTCGATGTGGAACTCGATCCCAGGACCCTGGGACCATGACCTGAGCTGAAGGCAGATGCTTAACGACTGAGCCACCCAAGCTCCCCAAATTCTGATATTTTAGACTAAAAATTGTTGCCAGGTATAGTTGAGAAAATAACCATATTGTAGGGTGTTTTAGAAATGACAGGTGTGGTGGAAGTTGCTGGCAGACTGGACTTCCAAGGGATTCGCTTGGGAGCCGAAGCCGGACCCGGAGGCCAAGGCGAGCAGAGGTGGAGGCGCCGAGGCCCGAATAGGAGTAGCTGCCGAGGCCGGAGCCTGTTTCTGACCACCGACAGGGGCGGACAGGCGGTTCACCATGGGTGGGTTTTTCTCAAGTATTTTTTCCAGTCTGTTTGGAACTCGGGAAATGAGGATTTTAATTTTGGGATTAGATGGAGCAGGAAAAACTACAATTTTATACAGATTACAGGTTGGAGAAGTCGTTACTACTATTCCTACTATTGGATTCAATGTTGAGATGGTAACATACAAGAATCTTAAGTTCCAAGTTTGGGATTTAGGAGGACAGACAAGTATCAGGCCATACTGGAGATGTTATTATTCAAACACAGATGCAGTCATTTATGTGGTAGACAGTTGTGACCGAGATCGAATTGGCATTTCCAAATCAGAGTTAGTTGCTGTGTTGGAGGAAGAAGAGCTGAGAAAAGCTATTTTAGTGGTGTTTGCAAATAAGCAGGACATGGAACAGGCCATGACTCCCTCAGAGATGGCAAATTCACTTGGGTTACCCGCACTGAAGGACCGAAAATGGCAAATATTCAAAACTTCAGCAACCAAAGGCACTAGCCTTAATGAGGCAATGGAATGGTTAGTTGAAACATTAAAGAGCAGACAGTAGTTCAGTCACTTCTACCCCTGTGAAATGAAGACTACATCCTATATCCCTTTGGAAAGAAACAGTTAAGTGTGCTTCATGCTACTAAATGTTAAAACTGTGTGATTGTTGGCATATACTGAACTGAATGCAATATTTGTAATAAATATAAAATATAAGTATTTGGTTGGAAGGGTAACTCACCCATGATTGAACCAACTGAATATTCTGTGTAATGTAAAATCCTCCCTTGCTTTCTTGTGTTAAGTATATATTCTATTTGTATGGAATTCTTATTCAAATAGAGTCCTATTAAAGAATGTACTCTTACTGAGGAAAAACCCTCCTATTTTTGAATTAGTAGTTGCAGCTTGTTTGTATAAACACTAATAAATATCTTAAAAAAAAAAAAGAAATGACAGGTGTTTGGTGCAGTTTTTTTCCATGAATTCAAATTTTTATATGTTTTTTTTTAAAGATTTTATTTATTTATTTGACAGACAGAGATCACAGCAGGCAGAGGCAGGCAGAGAGAGAGGAAGGGAAGCAGGCTCCCCGCTGAGCAGAGAGCCCGATGCGGGGCTCAGATACCCAGGACCCTGGGATCATGGCCTGAGCCGAAGGCAGAGGCTTTAACCCACTGAGCCACCCAGGCGCCCCTATGATTTTTCTTTTTATGGCTAAATAAAAAGAACCTAGCATAATAAACCTTTGGTCCCTTTCTTTGAGCATCCTGTAACTGACCAAATAGTCAGTCAGTGAGCCGGTCACTCTTGAAGCCCTACCAGGGATACAGGGATAAACAACGTGGGCTGGTCCCTGCCTGCATTAGCCCGAATATAAATGTTAAACAAATTACTGTAAATACCGTAAGATTCTAAGTACCCTGCGAACTGGGATGAGGATAAACAGCTGCTGTGGGAATTTGTAACAGGGAGGCCTAACCTGAGGTGTGGAGACAGGTGAGGCTTCTGTGCGGGATTCACCTGGAAGCTGCGGATTCCAGGCTGAGTGGGAGTTGGTGCGATGGTGCGGGAGGGTCAGGACAGCGTCAGCCTGACCTTGGGAGAGAGTGAGGGGACCGGGAAACTGAGAGAGCGGCCGTGTTGTGGACCGGACCCCTCTGGGGGAGGTGTAGGGCCTGGAGAGAGGTGTGGGAAGAGGTGGGAAGAGGTGGGCAGGGGCCAGAGCATGCCCAGCACGCTGAGCCTTACAGGCCCCGTTAAGCGATTTGGGCCCTTACTCCGAGGATAGTGGGACATTTGCGAAGTTTCAGCCTGGGGGTAAGATAAAGTCACATCGGCTGCTGTGTGGAGAGTGGGAGGCTAACCAGGGAGCTGTAGTAGGAGCCCAGGCTGAAGGTTAGTGTGACTTGAAATGGGACAGTGGCAGTGACGTTGGAGGGATGGATGCATTCAAGAAGGATTTCGGAGGTGCAGGTCACAGGACTCGGTGACTGAGTGTATGTGGAGGTGAGAGCGAGGAGGGTAGTGTCGAGGATGACTTCCAGGTCTCTGACAGGAGCTCCTGTGAAGGTGTCGCCTTTTACTTGAGAAAGAGGAAGTTTGGGGCATCTGTGCAACATCTAGATGGTACTGTGGAGTATCCCTACTCCCTAAATAGATGGACATGGGACTCAGAAGCCGTTATCTGGATGGAAGAGCTCAAGTTTGGGCTGGTCAGCGTAATGACAGCAAATTAAATCACAGAAGCGGAGCAAAATTGCTTCGGGGATGTCTGCAGAGTGGAAATGTTAGGACAGCCTCACACAGGACCCCAGGCTTCTCTCCTCTTGCAGCATTGCTATGTGTCCCTACGCGCACACAAATCATGCCTTCAGGATGTTATGTTTTGGAATGTGTACAGCTTAGGTCGTGTCTGGAATTGGGACATGTAATTAGAAATACAGTAGTTTATTCTTTAAACACACACTTCTCAAGTGTTGCTACGTATGGGCACTGTGCTAGTAGGCGCAGGTGATTCACAGAGCTAAGTTAGAGATCATGCTTTCAGGTGGTGTACTCCTCCTTTGCAGAGACAGAGGAGCGGGCATGATGTTTCATAAATACTGTGATGCAGGTAGGCATGGGATGATACGGGAGCAGACGTGGAGTATAGGGCTATTAGTAAGGAAAGCTTCCCAAGGGAGGTAAGACTTGAACAGAGCCATAAAGATGAGCTGGCAATGGTCGGCAGAGAAGGCAGAGGAAGGGCCCTCCCACCGTGCTGTCCTGTCTCTCTCAGTCGCAGATGCCGCAGAAAGGTCAGGGCATTGGAGGATAATCACGTCCAGTGGGTTTGACGGTTAAGACGTCAGCGGCAGGCTTAGTGACCCTCTAGGGCAGGGTATGAGTTTGATTGTCTTAGTGTCCCCCTGTGCTCTGCATAACTCCTAGCTCTTAGTGTTTGCTGCGTCAGCTCTGGACAGAAGAGGGCCATCTCCTTCCCCAAGATGAATACACGGGAAGGGGATGAGTCTGGATTACTGCATTCCCTCGGCGGCCCGGACGGGCTCACTGCAGTTTTCTTTACCTGCGCGCTTCTTTATGGCTGTGCAGGGAGGCCAAGTGAGCTCCCACAGCCCCAACAATCGTAAGTATTCATCTAGTGTTAGCGTTTTTATGTTTCATTCTAGTCCTTTTCTTTTCTTCTTTACTTGTCTCTTTCTTCATTTAATTGTGTATCATAACCGTTTCCCCGTGTCATTAAAGTGTTTTCATAAATTACATCTTTTTTTTTTTTTTAATAAATTACATCTTAAGTGGCTGCCACATCTCTCATTTGGACGTGTATTTGAACATTTGAGCATTTGGTTTATTTCTTTTTCTCTTGAAATAATTTGAAGTAATTACAAAAAAGTTGCAAAAATACTACAGAGAACTCCCGTAGAGCCCGTGGCTTGTTTATGGTGGAGTCTGTCGGATGGCTCCGTCGTCAGGCTCCTCTCCCCCACCCCCCCTCTGTAATTAAGAAGCATCTGGTGGGCGCATACTTGAAGACTGTACAACACCCCATTTCTCAAAATTCTACCCCTTAACTTGAGCATTCCTTGATGTGTCTTTAGCTGAATTATTACTGACCTGGTCCCCAAATGGTGACTTTGTGATTACATTATTCCTTCTGCATTCATCAGTTGGCATTCTGCTCTAAGGGAGCGTTCTCTCCACTCCTCATTTATTAGGCTCTTCTTTCGTGGGTTGTAATCTGTTATTAGTGGTCTGAATTGTTCCAGAGCTGACCATTAGGAGCCTCTCCACTGGCTGCTTTTTCCTTCTGACACGGCCTCACCCTCTGAGTCTCTTCTTGCTTCCAGGCACCGTGAAAAAGCCCAGCCTTGGCTTGTTTGTGCCTCCTTTGCCTCAGTCGTGCAATCAGCCATTCTTCCAGGGATCCCTGGTTCCCATTAGGGGAGATTCGTATTTAAAAACCAAGCTCCAGGTGCCAGATGTGCTCCTTGGAATTGGGGCATGCCTGCTGCTAGGCCCTCGTCAGTGACCGCAGCGAGGGAACGTATGCAAGTATCACACAAAGGCACACACACTGTCTTTTCTCATATTTTTGTATCTTTATTTACCAAAACCCATCCACTCACACCCATCCCTTCAACTTGAGTACAACTCCCCACATTTATTCTGGTTTTTCCCTTTTCCTATTTGTAACTCCCTTTTCTGTCATTGAGAAGTCCAGCTCCTGTGTCCCTCAGTACATTTACTTACTCGGTCAATTCCAGTATTGCGGGTTCCCACACCCCCAGGACCCTTCATAATGGCCTGATGCCCCACACCTCTCCTCATTCCACGTAGGCATGCCTGCCTTGATTGGTGCCCAAGGTTTGATGGCTTTTAGATTAGATTATTCAGAAAGGAGGACCGGGAGAGAGCACATGCCTTTTGGCTGCATCACCCTCTATTCTGGGGGTATATACCTTAGCTTATTCAACCCCTATTGAAGGACTTACTCTCTCATATCACAAATAGTGCTGCAGTGAATAGCCATGTGCACAAGTCATTTTGAATTTTTATCCATGTGTCTCTGGGATAGTTTCTTTTTTTTAAAAAGAAAGTATTTATTTTAGAGAGAGGGAGAAAGAGCAAGAGGGAGAGTGAGCAGGGGGAGGGGCAGAGGGGAGGGAGAGAAAGAATCTCAAGCAGACTCTGCATGGAGCACAGAGCCCAGTACAGGACTCCATCCCAGCACCCTGAGATCATGACCTCAGCCAGAGTCACGAGTAGAACGCTCAACGGACGGGGCCACCCTGGTGCCCTTGGGATAGTTTCTTAAAAGTGAGATTATTGGGTTATAGGGCAAAAGCACGTGTGATTTCTTTAGACATGGCCCAGCCCTTCCCACCACCAGGCCAAGTGTGAGACCCGTTCCCCCTACAGCTTCAAGCTTTTGTCCTAGCAGCGAGTTTGAAAGTTTATCTCTTTCTGAGTCTTGAGTTGTTCTTTTCCTGGTGTTGAAGGTTTTGACTTATTTTAAGCTCTTACTCGGTTCTTTGTATGCTCTCCACTTTTGGAAATTGGTTTCCTCTTTGGGTTCCTCTTTGGAAAAGGATCTGGAAGAGCCTTTTCTGTAATGGAAAAGATAGAAGTAAAGTAGCAGACTGGTTCAGCCTTCTCACTGTGCTGTTTGCTGAATGCACGGGTTAAATCTGTGGACTGACCCATGGTTTTATGTCTGCTGGAGCTTTAGGTCTTGGTCATGACCACGGCAGCTCAGGTTGTCATAGCTGCCTTCAGGACAGGAAGGAGGGGGTGGGCCTGGGACCAGCTGCCTGCTGAGAGGAAAGGCTTTCCAACAGGCTGCTTACAGCTTAAATTTGTTACCATTGGAAGCACCAGCTGGGATACAGTGTCCTTTGTGTTGCTGGAACTGCAAGTCTCTAATTTCTCTTTCAATTTGAAAACTTTCTATGTTTGTTACGTGCATAAATATAAAAATAAAAATTAAAAATAAATACACTAATAAGAAGATTGTGAAGAACAACCCCCTCCACTTTTCGGAGGTAGCCATTGTCTACAGTTTGGTGCATATTAACTATGGACTGAATATGGAACCTTAGTTTTCAGTATTCCTGTCGCCCTTGTTTGTGACCAGTATGTGGCCATACGTACACATTCATTACTAATCTACAACTCGTTTTTTTTTTTTTTTTCCATTTAGCGGTATAGACTAGACATTTTTCCCCATGTCAGGACAGATAGCTGTGCACCATTCTGTCTGGCTGGTACATCATACTTTATACTTGTTGTTCTCCTGCCTTCATTGATCACTACCCACCTTTTGTCCTCTGTGCTGGTGTCTGACCTTGAAGAACGGCATCATCTCCGCTTCCTTGCCTTCTGGCTTCCCGTTGGAATCAGCTGATAAAAGACACTGAGGGATCAGAGGGCGAGTGCTGAG